AAAGAAAGAAGGGATGGATGGGCAATATCCCAGAATAGATGGGCAAAAAAGAAATTCAGGATGAGAGTGAAAACACTGGAATTTTAATACTTATGTTCTTTTTAGTTTGCAGTGTTATTTAAGTCAACTCATGCTGATTTCTCTGATTTTTCTCAGATACAGGGGCAGAGTCCATCTCACTGGCCCAAGTCATCAGCCATTGGTGTTAAAGCCATTATTGCCAACTAATGAGCCAGGAGATATCTATTGACAGTGTGGGCTCAGAATGTTATTCACTGGCTAGGACTTTCAGCGTTTTTGTCATCTGGTAAGTGGGGCATCTACAGACATAATATTTGCCAGCTGCTCCCAGGTTTACATATTGCCCTCCCCAGGAATGTTTTCCTGTATTTCAACATTGTTCTGTCTGTAAAAAAAAAGAAAGAAAAGAAAAAGAGGAAGAAAGTAGAAAGGAAGAAAGGATTGCTGATTTCCCTATGTTAATTAATAGCTTGATAAGTATAATAGATGACTTATCTGTCCCCAAAGGATTGGCTATACTGTCTTTTGCTTGGTGTAATGCCTTTGAATGGTTCTGTTGACTTCAGGACTTGGTTTCCCTGTAATTCATTCAGATCTCACTAACTCCTCAGCTCATTTTCCTACTTAAGGATTTAAACTGTTCTTTTGGCTTTTGAAGATTCAAAAACAAATCAAGTTGGTACGTTTCAACAGTAGTTTCTAGTTAAATTGCTGATATGGTGTGATCAACAATACACAAATATTTATGCCAATGCTAGTTTATAAATCCTGCTACTCTTTACCTATAAGAGAATGCTTATTCTCCTCTACTGCCCTGTCTCTTCATATCCAACAGCCATCTTTTAGGTGTCTGCTTCCATGAAGGAGGTACATGACTGATGCTGAAAGCCTCTCTCAGAATCAAAGAATATTCTTCTTGTGGATGAGGCTGGAGCATCTCTATTTTTAACATGGCTGTTATATGCACAGCAACACTGGAGACCTATGCCTTAGTTTATACCTCTCTCACCTTACCTATTTTTCTTATTTCATTATAGCTGTGTCCTGGTCTTACATATTCTACAAAATATGTTGCTAGACAACAAGAACTAGATTCTATGCATCTTTACTCACCAGGTGGTGCCCAGGGCAGTGTGTTGCCCAGAGAAGGCATTCAGTTTACATTTGTTGTGTTCATTCTCATTGAATGTATGTGAGAGAGATGTGTAGACAAACAAAGTAGGCCACATTTGTGCCAAATTTCAGGGAGAATTCTAATTCACCAAAAAAGCAAAATTGCTTGCATCCTTGGTCATTTACCTTTTGGTTTCCAATATTCTATGAATGTAGGTATCCCTGCAAGTTTGATTTTAGAGTAAGTTCTAGAGCAGCACTGTGCAATAGAACTTTCTAGGATGATGGGAGTGTTCTGATCTGTGCTGTTCAATATGGTAGCCACATGTGGCTTATGTGACTGAAGCAATGAATTTCTTATTTTATTTTGTTTTAATTGATTTTTAGTGTATTTATTTATTTATTTATACTCGGTTTGAAGACTTAATTTCCATCCAGTGTCTTAGGTCTGTCCCAGTGGTCCTGTCCTGTTGGTGACCCTCATGGATAAAATAAAATCTGATCCAAGATACAAAACTTCCCATCTCCCTGAACTTGATGGAGTTTTAAAATTAGAAAACCTCCTTGGGTGGAGGAATCAGCAAATACTGAAGGTTCTGGATAATTTCTGTTTGTGTCTACCTGGAGGCTTTGATTTCACATTTAAGATCACATATGGATTGGCCAATCATTTCAAATGTCACTTCCTCTCCCCTTGGCCAAACCTGAGGCTTAACACCCTTGCTAATTCAACTCTCCCATAAAGTAAGTTGAAATGCCAAGATAGGTACAGAGGTGGGCCCATCTGATTAAAAACCCAACCATGTAGTTTAAAATGTCAGGCTGTTAAAATGCAGAATTAAATGAAGCAAGTAATCCAGTGATTTCCTAGCCAGGAGTACCAGATGCACACACCTGGGCCCCGTTTGTAGATGTTGACAGTGCTGCTCAGTTGTAATCCTTTCCAGCTGAGTACTCTGGTAATGGACTGTGTTGGACAGTGTTTAGTTTGGATGGTTAACTTGAATGGCATCAAGAAGAAGAAGGTCACATGGGTCTTGATTTTCAGGGATGTTTAATAGACACAGTCCCCTCCTTCCAAATATGACTTAAGCACTTTGCAGGGAGGGTCATTTTAAATATTAGGGCAGTGGTTCTCAAACCTGAGTGTGCCATAGAGGGCTCATTAAATGCAGATGTTGGACCCTTACCCCAGAGTTTCTGATTGGAAGGAGGTGCCGAGAATTTGCATTCCTATCAAGCTTCCCAATGATAATGCTGGTTCAGGGACCACACTTTGAAAAACACTTTTAGGGGCATATACTATATAGGCACCATACATCCCGAATTTTCCAGGATGGTTCCAATGTCTTATCATTTTATTCTTTTCTGCAAAGCTGAGTTTTAAAAAATATGTAGCTTAATTTGTGTACAATTGTGCACATATGCAGACATTTTATGCAAATACACATACAAATTAATTCATTTGACAAATATTCCCACCATATGCCAGACACTATGCTAGCTGCTAGCACTGCAGGTATGAAGCAGACAGACCATCTCTTACAGAGATTGTGGTAGTGGATGAAGGCAGAGAGTGCACCTCAAAGTAAATAAGTAAATACGATAGTGATAAAGGGCTAGGAGAATTGGAGCCCCAGGAGTTATATCAGCACCTGAAGGACATGTGACATAAACTTTGATGCTTGGGGGTTCTTCCTGGACTAGGCAATATTTAAGTTGAGATCTAGTGAATAATAAGTAATTAAGTGGACCTAAAAGAGGAGGTGGCAATTGGGAGAAGGAGAGATAGAATAAATCTGGAGGATTGGGAGGCACTACGTTATGGTGCTCTGCAGGAAGTGAATGAATCTCAGTGTGGCTAGAGCATAGAATGTGAGGGAGTATTACATGACTAGGAGGGATAAGCAGGCTCAGGATCACACCAAGCCTTGTGAGCAGTGGTAAGGAGCTTGAATTCTTTCTCATAGCCTCAAGCCAAGCTTCCTATCTGCCATATCCTTCATCACCTTTTTCATTTTGGAAAATATGGTCCCCCAGGGTGGGAAAAAGCAAAACTGAATTTTATTTCATTAAAATGGCCCGATAAATGTATATCAAATAAGGACAACCAATGTTACAATAAAAATAAAACTTTATCTACCATGCTCTCGAAAGAACTTTATTTGGAAGGTTTGAATGTCTCTTGCCCCAAGGTAAAAACGTTTTTGCTCATTCTTAGGTCACATGTAGTTCTTATGGTTATAGAGAGCTGCAAACAGTCTTGGTTGACAAATCAGTATCCAAACCAGGATATTAATGAAAACTCTATAAAGTTGATTTAAAGGCAGCACTTTATCACTTCCCCAGGCTTGAAGCCTCCAGTGGAGGAAAGGGGCATGGGCTTGGATTCCTCCTCTTCCCCAGTCTCCCAGCATGTTGGCCAGAGGGCTCAAGGACCTGGGCATATGGAGGAGTAGGGAAGGGAAGGGAAAAGGAAGAGAGTTGGTCCTTTCAGAGCTGACTTTCCTTTCTCCATGCCTGGCAGATGTTTAAATTGGTTCTTTATCATGTGTGCCTTTTGGGCTCCTTGGAGGATCTGTGTTTGAACCCTCTGACCTTGACCATCTTGAGCTAGTCAGGTGCTTCTCTCTTCTGTTTGGTCATTTACATAATCTCCTTCCACCACCTCCATGTGGCAGATGCTCATAGTGTCTTTCTCTATGTGCTGTTAGTCTAGCTGATCTCCCTGCAGCTGAGATGAAAATTCCACACATTCTGCCAATATACCACAGCTCAGTCTCAGCAGCTTCTTGTTTGGTTCTAGGGGCTCTCTCCAAAGCAGAAGGAGACCGTTTAGGCATTGAACAGCCACTGCCCAGAAGTGTGTGGTGGATGTTAATACTCCCAGGAGTGACCCTTATTAAAGGGACAGTGAGGGTCAATAGATAAATTACTTCCATTTTGTTTGATGTGACACTTCTGCGATCTGTTCTACTGGGTCCCCAGATAGTCTTGATTAGCATCGATCCCCAATTGCCCACACTATTTACCAATTCAGTAACTCATTCTTTTGTGGCCTTTTCTCTCTTCCCTCTATCACTTCTCATTCCCTCTCTTCTGTTTCAAATATCACCTCCTGAATTAAGTTCTACTCAAGTTATTATGTCAGACTCTGTTTTCAGGAAAGCCCCAAAGTGATTCAGGTTATCTTTTACTGGTATTTTTCTACCAAATAGGAAGACCAATTAGGACCCCAAACCATACCACACTTATTATCGCCCTTGTGTTGCCTATATCTTGGTGAAAGTATTCATTAATACATCACTTGACCTGCAAAATTCTGAAAGTGTGAACCATCCCAATAGGCTAACCCAGCTCTTGTTTCCACAGCCCAGCCTTAGCTTTCTTATCAGGTAATTATTTCTCTTTAATCTTTGTAATAAGACCTGGAGTCTTATTCCATGGAGGCATTGAACTAGAGAGGCTTCATTCAGACTGAGGGAAAACCTGGCACATTTTAAGATGGAGGTAAGGGTAAAATGCAAGCATGCATAAAAAATATGGAAACCTCATTCTGTACCCCCACCCAGCCCCCTGCTTCTGCATGGCTCCCAGAACATCAGGGCCAAGTTGAGAATCCATGCTACATGTTTGGAGGTCATCAAATGAAGAAGCTAGTGGGCCATCCAGATGCCCTATAGGAAGCCCACTAGTTGCCACATCACTACTTCCCTAGCTCCACACAGAGCTTGCAATCAGATTTCTAGCACTTCTACCAAGAAGCAAGGCAGCCCTGGATCATAAGACATTGAGGAATGGCTTCCAATACACACATACACAAAGGAAATAAATGATTTAAAAAGCAGGAAAATAATTTTAAAAGCTATAATTGTTATCCTCAGAGAAGGAACATATTGAATTGAACATGAACTATATAATATAGAAGAGGAAGAATCACAGAAAAATACTCTTAGAAACTAAAAATATGATAGTTCCTTCCCTCTCCCCGTGCCTTCTGATATTTTTAAGAGAATGGTTGAAAGAAATTTTCAAATAAGTCTCACTAGAAGTGAAAGAAAAAGTCAAAGAGAAGCAATGTGAGAGAAAAAATAAATTTGAATATTAATTTGGGAAATCTTATGAGTCTCACTGATTGACATTCCAGAAATTAAAAGCAGAGAAAGCAGTTGG